AAAAAAAAAATCCATTCCACTAGAATAAAATCCAGTTCCCTGCCACAGTCCAGAAAGCTGTCTAAAGTGTATTTCCTGCCTAACCCTAACCTTGTTTTTTCTTTATTAAGTAAGTGATGCTTTTTTTAATCTGTCTATATCTTGGTATTTTTGAACTTCCATTATTTTTTATAAACAGGGGAAATAGTTTAAGCTCTCTACACAAATGATTAAGACCCAGAAGAATGCCCCTAATCTAATCCACTCATATTTTGGTTAAGGAAACTGAAAGAAATGAAACAATTGTTCAAAGCTTGTATGACAAATAATTCCCCCTCATTGCGTATTTGCCTCTTTTTCCCTGTCACCTCCCTCAACATCAGAAACTTCTGTTCTGCTATCAGTGTTATCTAGTTATAATTATTTTGCTTTGTCAGCTCACCTGTTTTGCTAGTTTAAATTACGTACACATGTGAAATAATCCAATATTTGTTTTTACCTTTCTGCCTGTCTTTGCTGTGTATAATCCTCTCAAGTTCCTTCCATTTTGCTATAAATGGCAAGGTTCTATCTTTCCTCATAGCAGAAGAGTATTCCATTGTGTATATACTATACTATAATTGATGATGAACATTTGACTAAATATTTGTCATTCTTCTGTCCATTATTTAAACAAGCTCCTTCAGTTTTTGGAGTTGAATGAATGAGACCTTTGTATATACTTTAGATATTAAGCCCTTGTTGGTTGTGTGAATTTTCTAGTCTATAGGATATCTTTTTAGTGTGCTCATATAATCTATTTCTATGTAAACACTTTAATTTGAGGTAATCCAAATTGTTTCTCCAAATTTTTGCTCATGTAATCCTAATTATTTCTTTAGAAAATTCATCTCTAAACATAGCCACCCTAGGGTAATAGGGATTCAACTTTTGGATTTGAAGGAGCCACAAATATTCAGTCCATAACAGTTGCTATTGTCGATGGAATTGTTTTCTTAGCTTCTCTTTTCAGTTATTTTTTCAGACTTTTAATACTAATGCCAACTCCAGTGGGCCGCTGTTACCAGCTTCCTATGATAGTCTCTTACTCACCTTCCTATCTCTCTCTCATATTCTTTATGTTATTTATGATTTTCCCCATTGATTTATTGATAAATCAATGTGTGTCTGGCAATATGAGAAATAATGAAGAAGTGTGGCTTGATTCCTTGTCCTCAAAGATTTCCAGTACAGTGTAAAAGACAAATCATCTTGTGGAATAATAGGAAGCAATTTATGAGCCTATGTAATCACATTTTGCACCGTGTGGCTCATGCATTAGGATGTCAGTTCTCTAAGAGTAGGTCTTTCCTGCTGTGCCCATGCCTGTACCTCCAGCCTCTAGATCAGTGTAAGAACAAGATCTGAGCTCAGTAAAAGAATTTTGAGGGAACTCAGCATTCTTCCTCTTCGGAGTATCCTCTGGAGGAAGTTAGCCCTCCCATCACACTGGAAGATGATTTCTAGGGGGTCTGCTTTGCAAAAAAGACCTCCCTGAGAACCTTGGGGCTGTCTCACTGGCTCAGGTTACAACTGAATTATAGACTCACAGTACACAGTACACACACAGTACACATCTCTCAACAAGTATCCTGGTGTCTTTCTAAAATAAGTTCTTACATAAATAGATCCTTGGTAAGTTCTACCAAGTAAACTAACTGAGAAGAGCAATACAAAGGAAGAGGGAGAAAGCATGGCTTTGGGAAAAGGGGGAAATTTCCTGGAAACCTCCAAACTGACAGCCAGCACATGATGTCAGTGATTTTAGATTCCAGGAAAGAAGCTGATGTCCAAGTAAATGGTGCTTGAGCTGATCTTTTAAAAAGATGACCTATTTTTTAAAATTACAAGATCATGGCAAAAAAATAAAAACAAATAAATCCCTGTATAATGAAGAAAGTAAACTATCTGTAAACTATAACTCAGAGATAACTATAATTACCTTATAAGTGACATGTCATTTTATTTGAACTTAACAGAAGGAAAATCAATCAACCATTAGGTAAATATTTCTTCAAAATGAGATATTGTCTCTTGAAAGGAGTCATCTGAAATTAAATAAGAGCCATATAAAGAGGTTGGGATTATTTTAGAGGTTCAAAGCCTGGGGCAATTTGGCTCCTCAGGGATATTTTGGCAATGTCTGGAGATGATTTAGTTACCACAACTTGGAGAAAGAGGTGGTCAAAGACCAGGATACTGCTAAGTCTCCCACAATGTACAAGATTATACTGCCATCAAAGAATTATCCGGCCCCAACTGTCTACTGTCCCTGAAGAAACCCTGGGTGATTGCATAGTTGTGTTGGTTTAAAATAGCATATATATTTAAAATGCCTTAAGTTTTTTCTGGTTAGAAAGACATAGTTTTTTCAGGAAATAGTGGAGTAGTTGATTGAGAGCATGACCTCTACTCAAGTGGCTGAAGTTTGAACCCTGACTTTTGCCACTTATTAGTAAACTGACCTTGACCTTTGGGCAACTTCTTTAGGCTTCAGTTTCCTTGTTTGTAAAATTATGATAATGCTAAACCTATCTCATCCAGTTGTAGTGAAGACTAAATATGCTAATATAAGTGTTAAGTCAAGCATTTCTATGCTATGCTCCCATAGAAATATTTGCAGTGATGACAATGGTGAAGACCCACTATAAACCTATAATCTTTAAAACTTCAGAGAATTACATTATTTAAGACAACTAGTGAATTTTACAATATCGTAACACATGGTTCACTTCGTAGTTAGATCTTGACTTTCTTATTCAGCCTTTTGTTTTTCCTGGAGTTTCTAATCTTTTTCCTTTTTTCCTGTTGGTTATATGAGATATTTATCTTCATCTCATTGACAGTAAGCTGGAGTAGATTTAAATGCTTCTATAAAGAAGCCTATAATTCACTATAGAGCCCAGTTCCCGTAAAGCTCTGGACTTTAAATATTTACTGCTCAATGTTCCCCATTTCCTATGTCCCTTTTTTCTAAAATCTCATTCCTCCAAGGATCAGTTCCACCAGAGACTCACTGCTCTCAATATTCTAACTTCTGTATGACCATTTTTTTTCCAGTGTTCTTTTTGGAACTACATGAAATCCTAATGATTACCTCCTATACAATGTACTTTTGTCCAGCCCACTTGCTCTGGTGTGACCATCAGGCACTCCTCCATTCCATCTCCTTTCCAGGAAGAGCTTGCCTGTCTGGGACATGATTATTCAGCTTTGGTTGAACCCCACAGGTGCTGCACAAGGCCAAGTATGGCCCAATATGGAAAACCCACATAGGGCCTCAGCCCTTTGTGAACCTGGCCAGTGCCCCACTCCTGGAGCAAGTAATGCGGCAAGAGGGCAAGTATCCAGTACGGAATGACATGGAGCTATGGAAGACACACCGGGACCAGCATGGCCTGGCCTATGGGCCCTTCACCACGTGAGCTGGGGCCAGAAGGGACTAGAACAGGGCCCTAGAGGACCAGGCCCAAGGATAGTGGCACAGGGCAACCAGAGGGATAATGAACAGAATAGGAGGTCCCTACATGCTCTAAGTCTAACAGTCTAGCAAGTGTGGGTGGGATGGGCTGAATCCCAGGGAGCTTTTCTTCTAATATATTGTATTACTTTGGATATAGGAATCATTTTCCCTTCCGCAGTCTTATGTTTCTCATATGTAAAGTGCAAAATTTGGGCTAGAGTATCTCCAAGAATTTCTACTTCTGTTATTCTATTATGGTTGAAAGTATATCAATTCAAATAATAATGGGTCACACCTACTTATTGGTGAAACTGTATAATCTCCATATTATTTGGGAGTGCTCAACTTAAATGAGAAAATATTTCCCAAATAATGTCTTGTATACTAATTTTTAGATACCACTTTCATGGATGTTTTCTACTTCAGCCTTGAAGTTTTACTTAGAAAAGTTAAGACTATTTTGACAGTGATAAACTGAAGGATGGGATGAACGTGTTATATACACATATGCTGATTGAGGTCAATAACTGAGAATCTTTGATGACAGCCATTTCTCATGCCAGTTTGTAATGGGTATATACAGTTTTTTAAAAAATAAAATAATAGTTTATTTTTACATCATTTTGTGCATTTTCCATCTCAGTTGCAATTCCCTTGGACTTCCCATCACCAAATCACTTTACAGGTTTTTTTTTTAAGATTTGTTTAGTTATTTATGAATACAGGAATTGGGGTGTCAGTCAGAGGTGGGAGGTTAGTGAGAGGATTCACCAGAGACAGAGTGGGGAGCAGAACAGGCAGATGTAGTGAAATACACTGCTGAGGGGAGCAGTGGGTGAGACCCGAGAGGTCTGCTGCACCATGTGGGTCAGCCCCCTGGCTGGGGATCCAACTCTGCTCAGGGGCTGTGGACAGCTTCGCAGTGCTGTGCTAGAACCCCTTGCACCACCAGGAAGGCCCTAAATTACAAGTTTCTTTTTGCTATCCTATATTAACAGAGGTCCTAAAACAATGATTGGGTTTTTACTTTTCCTGATTGCTTGACATCAAAGTCTCGATCACTTTTTAAAGTTTAGATTAAAATGGATCCTGGTAGAGGTACTAGATAATAACCATGTCTGTGACTTTGCTAGGCATCAGAATAGTTGCTCCACATTTACTATTTCATTTTATCCTTGAAACAAGTCCATCAAATAGGACTCATTCTAGAATTAAGAAATTGAGACTCAGAGAGGTTGTGTTTCACTTGACAGAAATGATCAATAAGCAGTAGCGGTATAGAACACACTGATTCCAGAATTAAAGAAGGGACTGCTTTTTGGACACTTTTGGAAAGAAAACGATGTGGTTAGAGGGCTGATTTTTTGTCTCTGATGCTTGTTCATTCCTTCCCCCATAGCGTGTTACTTCCCGTTTCTTGATTCTTCCACAGGTGAACACGAACAGTTTCAGAACTTAAACAATAATTCCTGGGCCTTCTAGCCAAAGTTCTTGGAAGAGAAAAGAGCATGTCTGTTCATTAAGAGCTCTTTTTCATCTCAATTGTAATCCCCGTGGGCTTCCCATCACCAAGTCACCCATGTGCCATCACATTAAGAGCTCTTTAATTTGATATCTGGCCCTGAAGTCAAGATTTGGGCCTCAGGCTAGGCTATCTCAGGACTTGATGGCTCGGATTTAGAATTGGACTAAACTACATCTTCACCCTTTGTGATCTGTTTTTACTTTCTCACTCAAACCAGTTTCCTAACTATAGTATACCATGTGAATGTATTTGTAAGTTAGTTTTAAAGTTTATGATGATATTTTGCTTTTTACATATATATTTTTTAAAGTCTCATTTTTTGACACATTGCTTTCCCAACAAATATCTTAACCACCACAGAAATGCTCTCATTTAAGTTCCAACAAATGGGTTTATTTATGATCTTCAGGAATACTTTTTTTGTAGGGTTTCCCCATGTAATAAAACTCCTGGCATTTGAGATTCATTTAAATACTTTTTTAAAACAGGCCCTCCCTGGTG